CGGAGGCAGAGCGCGGCCTCTCACAGGTGCGGCCGCTGATGTCCGTCTACCTCACAAGTGCACGTTCCTGGGGGCACTGCCAGCTGCTGGGGCCCCTCAAACCGGGCTCACAACTGTCCAGGGTCCCCTGAATCACTCAACGCTCAGCTGCTGATTCTCAGGAAACCTCCTCCGAGCCTCAGCCTGTGGGACGTGCAGGGAGTGGCCCTCCTGAGGGCTGTGGGACCCAGCTGATGGCCAGCACTGACTCGCCCTTAAAGTGACAGCTGCTCACTTTCAGGAAGGCACGCCAGAGGGGCAGGCACCACCTGGACAAAAATATCTGCATGCTCTCCAGCATCTCCCCTGGCCCCTCCCACCTGCACGATCTCCAGCATCTCCCCTGGCCCCTCCCACCTGCACGATCTCCAGCATCTCCCCTGGCCCCTCCCACCTGCACGATCTCCAGCATCTCCCCTGGCCCCTCCCACCTGCACGATCTCCAGCATCTCCCCTGGCCCCTCCCACCTGCACGATCTCCAGCATCTCCCCTGGCCCCTCCCACCTGCACGATCTCCAGCATCTCCCCTGGCCCCTCCCACCTGCACGATCTCCAGCATCTCCCCTGGCCCCTCCCACCTGCACCATCTCAGCATCTCCCCTGGTCCCTCCCACCTGCCCATCTCAGCATCCCCCCGACCCCTCCCACCTGCACGATCTCCAGCATCTCGCTGCGGCTGATGTAGCCGTTGCCGTCCAGGTCGTACATGCTGAAGGCCCACTTGAGCTTCTGCTCCAGTTTGCCCCGGGAGGTGACGCTCAGCGCGATGATGAACTCCCGGAAGTCGATGGTGCCGTCGCCGTTGGTGTCGAAGGTGCGGAAGACGTGCTCGGCGAACTTGGAGGCGTCGCCGTAGGGGAAGAAGTTGGCGTAGATCTTCTTGAACTCCTCCACGGTCAGGTGGCCGGTGGGGCAGTCCTTGAGGAAGCCCTTGTACCACTCCTGCAGCTCGTGGTCCGTGAACTCCGTGTTCTCCCGCAGGTCCTGCAGCACCTCGGGCCGCAGCTTGCTGTTCTGCTTGCCCATGGCGGCCGGCGGCTACACCTGCGGGACAGGGCTCTGCTGGGGACACGGGCAGGGCCTGGCT